AAGGAATATAGAAGATATGTGACTACTGATAAGAGAAATGATAAATTAATGAATCTATAATTCGAACGCAGCAGCAAATGAATATGAATGAAGAAGAGCACACAATTCATGCATTGATTCGTCGTTAATTCATCAAGATACATTGTCACTTGTGAATGTGTGTGAACACAAAGCCGTCAACCATAAATACGCATGATATTAGCACATTCAACATCGCACACTTGCAATTTCATATTCAAACAATCACAGCTGATCAACATTATACAATCAGATATTCATAAGATATCTGGTCTACTCAAATTTTGAGGGCATGCATTTTGGAGAGCAATTAAATGATCGGTGAAAACTTTAACAGTTCCCAATTTCATGCAAAATTCAGCTTTTTGCATCTTTTGTTTCTGGTGATAAGCTACCAGAATGAAGTGATAGATTGTTTAGCTGATCAATATTAACAGTCAGTAACAATTAACAACTGTGCTAGTGCAGTTTGTTTTTGTCAGTTTCAGATGTTAGCTGCACAAAACAGTAAGATTTCCAGTAATTTTGGAGTAATAACTGGCTGCTCAATAATGGTTGATGTTGTTGAATGCAATTATCTATTTATAAGCAAGTTTTAGAGTCAATCTCTGCATGTTCACGATGAATGTTTTTGATGAAGTACTTTTTTAATAGTTTCAATAGTTTGTTTGAGCCTAAACGTAAACTCAGTATGTAGCTCAATAAGTTATTAATTGTCACTTTTGAGTTAAATACTTAGTCTAGGGCAATATACTGTTATGTTAAAAGATTCCAGTGAATATCTTTGCCACAACAAAAGGATCATATGAGCGATTATGGATCATTACATATTGTCGCTTCGCTATTTTGTGTCACTGCTATTCAACTCTCTCAATTTTCTCTCGAGTGATAATGCAGAGAAGGTAAAAAGTTCAAACGTGGCTGCACATGCATGCCTGCTCTAGCGGTCAACATAAAAGCATTGTAACAAATAATCATCAGAGGATAGCACTAATTGGAGCACAACCGACTGTTCATATTACACGGGTATATCAACGTCAAAGTGTTATGAAACAATGGAGTGTTGCTCAATACGCCATTAGTTGATGTTCATGGTTGATTAAAACAAAACAATGAACCGTCGTCACTGAATGCCTCGGTAAAGGTGTGTTGTATGTAATTGTGCATGAGTTGAATGCCTGAACAAACTGAACAAAGCGTGGTTCGATTGATAATTTCGAAGGGAATCTTTTTTTGTAAACCATAAATGATGATTGGTGCTCGAATCAAACAAGAGTCTAGCTGTCAAATCTTTTGACCAGTGATTTATAAGATCTTTTGCGTTTGCATTCAGTCGAATTTCTGCTCACCAGATACTTAAAATCATCCACTGTTTTGGTCATTTATCGGAATTCATTCCCTCATTTGACGAATTCTCGAGTAAGTCCTGTATGTTCAATGGGGTAATCAGTGAACATTANTGTTGTTTTGATTAATTCAGCGTTTGAGACAAAACGTTTCGAAATGTTTTACTGACGCAGATGACGATGATAATGATAAAAATGATCTAAAAACTGAGATTCAGTTCTTTCGTATGGAATCATCAAATAAACGTATTTATATGCTTTAATATGTATAAAATAAGCGAAACTGCTGAAACGAAACGCAAAAATATTACAACGGCTATCTATACAAACAAACAAGCAAGCAAACAAAATCAATTTGAACAATTCATATTTCATACTAATCACTTCTTAATAAAATATCTATTGATCACAAAGCACCCTATCAGCATGAGTCATTTCGACTGTACCAATTGGTCAACCTCTAGTTTTTTATCATGCTCTCCGTGGTCATCTGGTAGCTACCAACAAATTCAGAATCGAATCTCAAATGTTTGCGTTACGGTTAATGACCACTTCTGCACAGAAATGATTTCCAATATTATTAGGCAAAACTTTACTGGAAAAGTGCGCTAAAAGCGCCGAAAATAATGGAAGATATTTGCATCAATCAAACCTATCGTACATATATGCTCATATGATAAAACTTATGGAGCAGGCGGCACTGATAGTGAGTTGAATTGTTATAGAAAAGAAGATATGAAAAGGTCTTTGTGAAGGAGGGAGGTGTTTGGGGGTATTGAGCATTTGGGTCCACCTAAAGCCATGGATATCAGTGTTGGCAGTGCATAATGTCCAATGAATGCAACACATTCCGAACAACCCAATCGCACTTTGAGCAGTAACAACCAATTTTGAAACACTCAATTAATCTATAAAAAATCAAATTTATTAAAAAATTTGAATCCATCAATTTCCTGCAGGATGTTGGATCTGATATACTGGATGATTTCAACAAATTTCACTAGAATCAAGTCTTTTCTCGTGCAGTTCACTCATGAAATGATCACCGAATTTTCAGAATTGAGGGAGATGAGGCAAATTTCTTTCGTTTTTTTTCGCCTAAACGCTCGACGTTTACAAATTCCCACTGGATTCGGTAAAATACGAAAGACTGTGCGGTTAATGGGTCGATGGGAATGCGAATAAAATTCAGACAATGAATAATTTGTGGAATCTGGTATATTGGCGCTAGGTTTACATTTGTTCAATAAATGTAATCAGTTCGCGTCTGTACTTCAAGCTTTCGACGAGGATCCAAGAATGACAAATCTGATTCTGCATATCCAACTGAACGTTGAACGCTTGACGTGTCGTGTGTTGATCGCGGCACTACAGCTGTAAAATATCACATTATTATTGAACTGTGATTATCTTCATTATCTTCATTGAACTATGACTACAATTGATCTTCATGCTATTACAATCTGCATTCAGATCATCTGTCGTATAGTTAGTTCGTAAGACTTAATTAACAAATCAATGGTTAATATACTAACTGAAAAATACTGTTGAACTCGTAATGAGAACATACCTAAT